CTTACCTACTCATCTCTCTAAATTAGTTCTACCTTTCATTCCCCTTGTTTAGTTTGCTACTGTATAAAGTACAGATAACCATTTCCAATCCAAATTCTTTCCATGAGCAGTTTGTCCACTTTAGTGAGAACTTATTTCTCTCCTCACCATGGAAAATAGAATTTCATATGCATTTGCTATTTATTTATGAATTCTTTATGTTTAAATTTAAAGATTTTAGAATTCTGTTTAGGACCAGCCATAGAACTTTAACAATGAATAAACTGAATAGTATTACTGAGCATGTACACTGAGTCACAATTTTAGGTTTTATTAGGTTGTGTGTAAACATGTATATACATATAAACTGGATACACACACACACACACACACACACACACATATATAGAGAGAGAGAGAGAGAGACAGAGAGAGACAGAGATGGAGACAAAGACACAAAGGGAGACATACCCTTGTTCTTTTGTAGTTTATGGCATCCAGCCATTACCCTTACATATAACTATTTTAAACCTTTATTATTTTATTTAAGAGCCTATTTTATGATTTTCTTCTCACTCACAGAATTTCTTTTTTAATTTTCAGAGACAAATAATGAATGGACAGTGAGTCATCATGCAAGCATTTGAATACATCAGTGTTGCTCTCTGTCCCTGCTTCCCTTTCTTCTCTGGGGAATGAGATCCTTCTCTCCGAAGTTGATCTCAACCACTAACATTGCCCTGTCAGGTAAGATCCCTGTGCTATTACTAACCCTCTCTGCCTTCTAAACTTCACCATGTAATAATGCTTAAGTCAATTCTATGTTTAAAACCTATGACCCTCTTATCTGCTGCCTTTATTTTCTTCATTTCATTGCGATGTTTCCTTTCAGGCATCCACTGTTTCTTCCACTCTTAGTTCAGTCTACTGTGCTAGGATTTTTGTTCCCAAAACATAAAATACTATTTTGTTCAATGTTGCAAGTTATATTCTTGCTGTCTAATCCAAAGGTGTTTAAATATGTGTCCATTTTTATATCAAGTGTTAAAACTCACCTTTCTTAAATCTTCACCTCCCCTGGCTTCTGCTCGCCTAGCTTGGTTTCTACCCGGATTCAACTGTACATGGAATCCACACAGCAGCAGTGTCCTAGGGCTTCTCTCAGAGCCTACTTCTTCTGTACTAAATGCTCTCTTCCCAGGTAAGGAATCTTGTTCCTTTTCTGAACTTAGGACCTGAACAATGACAGCTTTCCTATCTCCATTCCAAAATTATAAGTCCAGTTTAAAAATGATTATAGAATAGGCATATAAACATATCAATTCTAAAACAAAATATAGTTGATATCACTTTCCAATGCTATGTCTATTCCAAGATTTCTCTCTTGGTGTGCATCACTATAACTTGCGCTGCTGGTCTAAATAAAGATCCTACCCTTATAATGTGTACCCAGTCACATGTTCTAGATTCTGTGGATTCATTTTCTGATTTGTAAGTTGTACTTTAGAACTTGTCTACATGGGTACGAAGAGGTTTAAATGAGTTAACACAATTAAATCCTTTGAAATTCAAGTTTTTAATTTTTTTCTTTTACTAGTCTGGTGATTAAACCCAGAGCCTTCACTCTAAGCAACATCCATCCCCAGAAATTTATCTTATTTTTCTTATTTTGAAACAGAGTCTCAGTCACTAAGTTGGCCAGGCTGAGTTTGAACTGAAATTTTAGTTATAAATATTCAATCATGAAGATACCTTTTAGCATTACTGGATGTTTTTTATATTTGTTATTTTCAAGCAAGAGGTGCAATTCTCATGTGTCAGTTAAAATATTGAATGAATAAATAAATATTTTTTAAAATTTAAAAACAGATTCAGTTGGAAAAAGAAAGCATCACTGAGGTGATAGTCAGGTCTTTGGATTTCTCCCTCTCTGAATTTCCTGTACCTTCAACTCCCATTTCTGTCTACAAATGTGGAAGACAAGACTGTGAACTTATGGAGCAAGGGGTGGAGCACTGGACCCTGCTGTGCTGGCAAAGGGAGGTCTCATAATATCCAGTGCCTGGGAATGGAGGCCGGGTAAGACTGCTTCTGTGTATCACCATCTTCTCTTTTGATAATTATGAAAAATCAGCATTATAAAAAAAGTCTTACTTTGGGGGATAATACTTGAATGAGCTCCTTTATCTGGTCACTGAAGAACAATCACATTTTTGCTGAAAATGTTTTCTACTAAAAATTTTGTTTTCTTGTTTGTGGTACCTGACTGGGTATGGAACCCATGGCCTTCATACTGAGCTACATATCTAGCCTTAAAAATTCTCTCTCTCTCTCTCTCTCTCTCTCTCT